CCCGCCCCCAGGCCCCGCCCCCACGTGACCGCACCACCCTCAAGACCCACCTCCCCGCGTCACCGCCCCCAGGACCCATCCTCGCGTCATCGCGCCGCCCCCAGGCCCTGTCTTTGCACCACCTCCAGCCCATTCGGCTCCGCCCCGTGGGCCCCTCCACGCCCCCAGGACCCGTCCCGCCCCCAGGACACACCCCCGCGTCACTGTCAAGGGCCTTTAGCCAGAATTCACTGCCATTCTGCTTTCTCTGAGAGTCGGAGCGGGCCACACCGCTAAGTAAGAGACAGTGTCATCCCTGAAGCCATGGACTGTCCCGTCCCATTCAACCCGCTCCCGAGCATGGCTCCCTTCTAGCCCCACTCCCCTGCCCCCAATAAAACCATAAATCTCCCGTCCCCGTGCCCAGATCTCCTCATTTACTGCTCCAAACTTGGATGGCTCATCCAACCAAGCCCACCTTAGTCTTCCATTCCCCTCTTCCCTCCCTCCCACCCTAGGACCTCCCACAAAGAAAAAAAACTGGCAGAAATCTAGTCCTCTGGACAACCAGTTTGTACAGCTCATTTCCTCATATCAAAAATTGCTCCTAAGTCAACTATATTTCAATTTAGAAAAAAAGAACTTCTCACAGAAAAAATAAAAATACCAAAATATTAATGGCTCCTGTTTGTTGACAATTTGCTATGTCCCTCTCATTGTGCTAGCCACTTCACATTGCATTATCCCATTTATCTCTGACTACAATCCTACCAGGGAGGTATTCTTTTCCCCCTTTTTCCAGATCTGGACGCTGGGGCTCAAGGAAGTGTTCAATACCACAGAAGTAGTAAGTGGTAGAGGCAGACAGGGTTTAAATCCAAAACCCAAAGTCCACACGCAACCAGAAATCTACTTTAGAATGTATTCTCCCGAGCAACTAAACCTCAGCCTCATTCACTCATTTATTCCACAAATATTATTGAGACCCAATCTGTGCCAAAGTCTGTACAGGCACCAAGAATATAGAAGTGAACAAAATAGGAAAAAAATCCCTGCTTTTAGGTATTTATATTCCACTGGGAGGAGACAGATGATAAACAATATAAATAAATAAAAGATACTGCGTGTTAGGTAGTGATAAATGCAAAGGAGATAAAGAGTAAATAAAAGTAGGGCAAGGAGATATGAAATCTCTTTCTTTATATCCCCAAGGAACCTATGTCATTGGCTCAATGAAAGTTTATTTCATTCACTTGTGCCTCTCCCCTACTGCCCCCACATCACCACATACACATCCTTTTCCCTGCTTAGGACAGGATCTAGCACATTCTCAAGTGGAGCTCGCTTTTTGATAAATGGGATTAGGAGCTCTGGATTCTAAACCTTGGGCAAGTCCCTGCCCCTCTCTAGGCCTCAGTCTCCTCCATCAGCGGACGGAAGAGTTGGACTAGAAAGATCCCTAAGGTCCTTTCCGACTCTGACGCCCTAGGATTCTATGAATAGGGCTGAAGAGAACGGGGACCAGCGATTGCTTCCCCACCTTAGCAACTGTTGCTACATAAGGGCCATCTCCTGGTAGAAGTGGAAACTCCTCCCTTTATCGGGGAGGGCTCTTTGATATCCCATCATGCATCGCGACTTTGCCTCGCTAGGAGGCACGTTTTGGCCTCTTTGGTGACGACCATCCCTTTGGACCCAGCCGAAGAGCGCGCCTCGTTCCTATGGCAACCGCGCCGGGTCCACGCGCAGACGGCGGGTGGCAAGGGTCAAAACAGATTCGCAAAGTAAAAGCCCTCGACCCGTTCAGTACGCGCCTTCAATGCGCGGAGCCTTTAAATGTCACGTGACTCCCTTCCGTCTCGTCCCCTCCTCTTTCCCCTCCCCAGGCCCCAGCGAGCGCTGGTGAGGACCGGAGGCTCCCGGCCCGGCGGACTAACTGGAACGTGGACGCTGCAGCCGGTTAGGCCGGTGCCCTTTCCCGGTAACTCTTTCCCGGCGTGACGCGCGGAGCCGCGGAGGCGGCGGGACCGGGCAGGCTCAGGGATCTCCCGTCAGTTCCTCCTCGTTCCGGGTCCCTGCCGGGCCTGGGGAGAACCTGGAGCCGATAGGGCTCGGCCCAGGGCTCTCGGGGGGGGCGGCGGGGCAGGCGGCCGTCTCCTGGAGGGTTGCGACCTCCAGCGGGAGCTCGAGGCGGGGCATGTCTGGGAGTGGCTGCCTGGTCCAGGGGGTACTGCCTGAAGGCGGTTGCCTACCTGTTGGGCTGGTTGTTTCCTGCCCTGGGGCCGGCACGGTCGAGCTGTCAGCAAAAGAACGCAGCCCCCCACCACTTGGGCCCTCTAACTGGAGGCAATTGACACAGTTGAATAAGGCACTGGTCCCACTGCATGGTAGAAAAAAATAATAGTAGTAAGTACCGCTTGTTGGCTGCTGACCCTATGCGTAGTAAATCCTTCGTATACATTTAACTCTCATTTTGATCCTTTCAAGACGATATTATTCACCCCCATTTCATGAAGGAGGACACTGAGACTTAGCAAGTTTAAGTAACTTGTCCAAGGTCACAAAGAGGTGGAGGACAGATCCCAATGTTAGTCTGATCCAGAGTCCGTGTGCTTAACCAGTAGCTAAATCACCTCAGTTTTAGCGTGCTGTTTGTGTTGTAGGACAGAATAGGTCATAGGTTACCTTAACAAGAAAGAAACCGGCTTGATTTATTAGAATTTTATTCAACATACTTGCAGTCCTGAACACTGGCCATCAGATTAGACAATTTCAGGCAGACTCCTAGGCAGCATTTAGACTCCCACTTGTCAAAATCCACAGTTAGCAGTTTTGCCTTCCTTAAGGTATCACATTAGACACTTGATCCTTAAAACTTAAGTGATTTGTGAGAAGTCAAGATAAATATGGCCCTTGAAAAATCATTGTATGATATCACAAAGATCATAATCCTAGAGTGTTAATGTCTGTGCAATACAACACTATCCTGTTTATGAACCAGCCAGAATTGTTTCCAGAATCCACAATGAACTGTCACTACACTCACCAAATCTGAACTTTTACCATTTGAAGAGCATGCCTGGTCTACAGTCTTTGCCATTAATCCCCTTCATGTGGCAAACTAAATTTTTTCTCACCACTTTTTCTCATCTGAGAAATGATAGTATTGCTAATGATTAAAGAACAACTTCCAATTTTTTTGTTTGAACGGGTGTGGTGAGAAAGAATAGAATTGGGGCATACTAAGTAGTAACTGCACAATTTTTTTAGTGTTTCACCTTCATACTTGTACTTATTTAACTCCTAAGAACATCACAACTATCTCATTTTATAGTTTTGCACATGGTAAATCTTACGATTTCATGAATTTATTTAACATGTGTTTAGTGAGGTATTCTCTAACCACATATTTTGAGTTTAAACTATTATTGTTAGAATAAGTGAACTAGTATATTAGAGATGTAGTTGCCTTGACATCCCTATGTATGTTTTCCCACATTTGCTTATTATTTCTTCATCTTACTCATTTTCAGTCATTTCTAAAGCTTTTCTTATCCAAGGATTTTGGAGAGTTGCTATTAATTCTTATTGCTCATCTTTTCATCTATAATAGTTCTTATTTGTGATAATCAAAAACAGCAGCAAGATTGTTCATTGAAAAAGATATGGTCACACAGCTTGGCACTTTTCCTGCAAAATATCTTTTGTTTTTCATCTTTATGTCTTACACCTTTACCTAAGAAGCAAGACTGTCCAGTTTTCTACCACTAAAACATATTGCCTCTTCAATTATTTCAGCTCTGGAAAGGAAGAGAAATGGAAGTGAAAAAGTTGAGCATTTCCTGGCAATTCTTGATAGTTCTGGTTCTGATCCTGCAAATTCTGTCTGCGTTGGATTTTGACCCATACAGAGTCCTAGGGGTCAGCCGAACAGCCAGTCAGGCTGATATTAAAAAGGCTTATAAGAAGCTCGCCCGGGAATGGTAGGTGAAACAAAGAAATAGCAGTTTACGATAAGTTAAGTAGTTTTAGCAGGAGAATGAAGGCTAAATTATAGTTAGCTTTTATTTGTCTCTGTTTCTATGTTTGTTAAATATATAATATATATCTGTCTAATGTATTTTATTTGGGAGAACTCATATTCATGTTATTCTATCATTTTTAGTGATGAGATCCAAAGCCTGTGTTACTATGAAACTCCCTTTTAGGAAATCTTAAGCTTAAAGAATTGCCTTGATACTGTTCACTTGTTTAATGTTAAAGTAAGTAGGCAGAAACTTTAATTAATAAGTAAGTAAATATATATGTGTATGATATCTATATATAAAATCAATAATGGATGGGGAAGGTATAGCTCAGCGGTAGATCTCATGCTTAGCATGCACGAGGTCCTGGGTTCAATCCCCAGTACCTCCACTAAAAAAAAAAACAACTAATAATAACAATGGATAAGCTGCCCTTCCCATGATATGTTATTCATAAAGTAACTCATTGTGAGTGTCATTGCTAAAGGGAACACTATCCATTCCTATTCTCTAGGTTATTTTTAAGCTTTCAAAAAATTTTTAAAGAGCTTTTGGCTCTCAATTTAAAAAGAATATTCAGGAGCTAAGTACATTACTTTAAAATTAACTTATGAAAGAATCTTAATTTTACCCGTAGATATCATATTTGCTAGAGAATATACACATGTTTGTGAATTAGCAGGATATCAGTAAATTTAAAACTTATCTTGGACAGACATCATTACTTCCTTCCACCAGCGCCTTGGACATGACTGAGAAGTAGAAGTGCTGGATTATATAGCCAGGGAGCTGAGGGGATGAAAGGATGGAAAGGACATAGGAGACTGCAAGCGGGGTGAACCAACCATAAGTAATGAAAGAAAGTTTGGTATGGAAACCGTCACTGAGCACCTACTGTATGCTAGGCTCCAGGTTCCACTATTTATCTTGTTTAAACTTTGTAATCACCCTGTGCAGGCTGATAATTGCTGTCCCTGTTTTTCGGGTGAGGAACTAGGCTCAGCGTTGTCAAGTCCCTCTTACCTCTGGGTTCCATAGGTTGACCTTCTGCACCAACAGATAGTTTATGGCTGTTTTGCTTTTTAATCACTTAGCCATCTGGGCAGAAGTGAGGGTGAGGGAGTTAATGTTAGGGCGGGCAGGAGGTTCCACAGGAGCAAAGCTGCCATGTGCAGATGACACTGCAAGCTGTGCGTGGCTCTGCCTGACACCATCATTCTCCAGTGAGAGATGTGCCTTAGTGTTCAGTTGGTTGCAATCAAGGTAAAAGATAGTTTAAAATACACTTTTGAATGTTTTGAATACATAACTGTTTTAGACCACGTTCACTTCATGAGGAGCCCAGAACTGGATACTAAAAACACAATCTGTGATTACACGTGGCCTCTTTCCAGAAATTCTACAGCCACGTTGCTTTCTACATCATTTTGAACTCTTGCCTTTTTGTATTTAAAGCAGATACATAAACCTGCAATTAATTCATAAGATAGCAACATTCTTTTGGACAGGGTATGGCCTTTTACAACATTTTAAAAGCAGAAGTGGGGGGTTAGTTAGCATGCATAAGGTCCTGGGTTCAATCCTCAGTACCTCCACTAAAAAATAAATTAAAAAATCTAAATGCTCCCCCCCAAAAAAATTAAATTAAAAATAAAAAAAAAATAAAAGCAGAAATGATAGCTTAGGTACGTGGACCTATTAAAATGTATAGCTTTGACTTTTCTGTCTTTCAGAGCTGAAAGGGGTGTTATAATATTAATTAAGTGAATCATATGCTTCTCTTCCTTAATTAGATTTTCTCTAGGAGTAATACATCACCATAGAAATATATAGAGTATCATCCAGTGAAAGTCTAAAATTTTAACTGTACTTTCACTGTACTGTTCTTTTCTGCTGTTTTGGGGCTATGGCAGTATTTTATCAGCAAAACAATTTGTTTCGTTTTGTAATGGCTTCATATACCGTTGGCCCTTGAACAACTTGATTTGAACTGTGCAGGTCCACTTACACACAGATTTTTTTCAGTAAATAATACTACACTGTCTGTAGTCAGCTGAATCCTTAGCTGTGGAACCACGTATACAGATGGCCGACAGTAAGATTTATGCAGGTTTTTGACCTTATTCGAGGATCAACTGTACACTGAAAATAACAGTTACTCAGTTTGACTTTGCAGAATGAGCTGTCGGAGGGGGAAATTGTTAATTGTTGTTGGATTTGTAGTCTTCCTCTGCTGTGTTTCACCACTTTTTTTAATAGGATTTCTTACACTTCTCAAGAGTTTTCCCTTTGCTTATTGAAACATTTTAAGTTACCTTTTATCTCGGAAAAACTATGTTTCTCTCCCAATAATTAAGTTTTATCTTAGATACTTTTCTTTTGTCATCTGCATTGACATAATAAACAACTCCTATCCCAAGAAAAGGGCATCATAAAATTTGATTTTAAGCAAATGGGTATAATGTGGTCAGACACCTGAACAGTAAACTGATTTGTCTGATACTTTACTGTATTACTTTTTCTACCTATTTTTCCCTTAAAGGTAGCACTAGTTCTGTATGTTTAAATCTTCATTTGTGCCATTGCATAATTTTCATCTTTTCAGCCTTTGGCCTAAGTTTGAATATTAAAAACATTTTTTTTCTGGTCATCCAGAAACATACTTTGGAACCACCATCTTGTCTCCTTAAGTCATTTTATTTTCATTACACCTAGCTGAGATTTTTTTCTCCTACTAATATTCATAATAGGATTAAATAGTTAAGGGAGGAATGATGTCTAAATTCAACAACCAACAATTTGAAGTTTGTTTATTTTTAGAGAAGTCAGAATACTGATAGAATTCATTCGAACATGTTCCTGCTGGAATAAGTTGGTCAAGTTAACGTTTTTTATTCTGATGTACTTGGTGCTATTTTTAGTAGTCATTTGCTCCCCAGTGGATTGTTTCTTTCCAGAACCTTTGCTAAAGGAAATTTACTAGAAGTTAGCAGAAATGATTACCAAAATGATAATAATAATAATAAGTTTTGTAATAGAGTGTCACAATAAAATGAACATTGAAAAAATCTATTGGTATAAAACACTGACTTAGATCTTAGGGGGTTCTAAGGAAGTAAAACCCAGCCCCTACTTTCCAAGACTTTAAAATCCCCAAAGCTGAAATTGATATAAACATAACAAGATTACAGAATAACATACGGCAGCAAGATGATTACAGGTAATTGCCAGCTGTGTATAATAGCAAATATTAGTTCCAATATTAGTTGAAATCACTTTGCAGAAACTGTAGACTTTTCTCACATTTTAAAACGTGTGGCCTTGGAATCATTATCCATTTGTAAGTAAAAGGCAATCAGGCAGAATGGGATAATCAGGGGTAATAGTGAAAACTAAAATGTTCTCATTTGAACATCAGCAGCAAGATACCAGTTGGAACATGGCTGTTACTAAACAAATTCATGGAGTATCTTAAAAGCTGTTTCCTATGTCTGCCTGAGTTGTCAGAAGAAATACCTACATTGATATCATTCTAACATTGGGATGAAGTGCTGCCATCTTGGGAAAAGAAGTTGGTTCTTAAAGTGACTTTAGCCCTGAGCCAGCTCCAGCAGTGTTTGGGAGCAGTGTCGAGACAGGTACATATCCTGCCCTTCCTCAGGGAAAGGCTGAGGTGCTTTCTGGTGCTTTGAAAATGTGCCCAGCTGAAGCACTTTGGGAAGAAATTGCCTATTTCATAGTTTCATTTATTACAGTCATGTGAAGCAACTAATTACGCCTCCCATTTATTTTTAAGCAAATGTCCTAACAGAATGCCCTTCCGTTTGCCTCTGATGTAGTGAATTGTGCGAGGATGTTAACTGAACATGTGTAAAACATTAAATCCATTCTCACTGCCTGCCCATTTGTGTTTCAGGCATCCTGACAAAAACAAAGATCCTGGAGCAGAAGACAAGTTCATTCAAATCAGCAAGGCTTACGAGGTATCGTGTCAGACTTTGTGCTGCATCCATTAGCCCTTATGAAGTATATCTTAGGTGATCAGTTTTGTAACGATCTCTCAGAAAGTTTCTAGATGATGATAGAGACAGCATATTTGACTACATTCATTATGTTGAAACTAATGCCTAAACCCTCAGCTCTTGGAAAAACTGGGCTGAAGACTTTAATTGGAATTGTAAAGTCACCCTGAACGTTCTGTTTCCGTATATTACATGCTCACTTCAGCAGCACATATACTAGAAATTTAAACAGTCACAGACTGTTTTGCCTGTATTTATTAAAGTGACATAAGGTTACAGATACTTTTTTTCAGAGTTGTTTTTTTTTTTAAGATTTTTGTTTATTTTTATATTTTTTCATGGAGGTACTAGGGATTGAACCCAGAACCTTGCGCACACTAAGCACATGCTGTACCACGGAGCTATACTGCCCCTCCCACAAATACATTTCAACACAAGATTTTCACCAGTTTTCCAACGTATCAGCTTAAATGAGTTGGTCTGGAGTATGCGTGAAAGATAAGTCCGTGGCTTCCTGATTTGTGTAGTGTAATATTCGTCAACAAATAGTGCGTAGCTTATACAATGATATGTCATCCTAGAACAAGTTCTTGAATTTTAGACTTCAAAGTTATTTCTAAGTAAAACAAAGTCAGCTAATATACAATCACTGAATTCAATTCTGTGGCTACTTTTCGCTGTTCACAGCTTTTCATGCCCTCGTTTGAATTATTCCGACTTACATGGTGTGACTGAGTCATTTATTTTCTTGTGATTGATCCCTAGTGATCAGTGTTAAGTTTTATTTGTTTTATTGATATGTTTAGTATTACAATAGCTCAAAATCTTTAAAGCCAAGGTAAGCATAAGTACCTAAATGACTAAAGTATTTTGATCTTGAAATACTTATGTGTCTATTGAGAGAAGAGTTTCATGGTGTGTTGAGGAACTGCTTTTAAAACATCTATTTAAAATTGTAACTTCACATTTTATTTTCTTCCTGTCTTCCAAGCTGCTTACAGGAAAAGTTCTTTGGGTGATCCTTTTGTTTGTTTGTTTTCTGGAGTTCTAATTTTTTTCCCTTTCTTTATAGATTCTTTCCAATGAGGAAAAGAGATCACAATACGACCACTACGGAGACGCCGGGGAGAACCAGGGCTACCAGAAGCAGCAGCAGCGAGAGTATCGCTTCCGCCATTTCCACGAGAATTTTTATTTTGACGAATCTTTTTTTCACTTCCCTTTTAATTCTGAGCGGCGGGACTCGATTGATGAAAAATATTTATTGCACTTTTCGCATTATGTGAATGAAGTGGTTCCAGATAGCTTTAAGAAACCCTACCTCATTAAGATCACCTCCGATTGGTGCTTTAGCTGCATCCATATTGAGCCTGTTTGGAAAGAAGTAGTCCAAGAACTGGAAGGATTGGGTAAGATCATTTTGTTCCTTGGGGGATGTTTGTATAGGAGAAGGTGACTTTTACATCATCTGAACATGGGATCTGGGGGAAAAGAAACAGTTAATGTGATTTCTCTTCTCAGTTTCGTGATGACTGGTATTTTCCAGGGACGCATTTTTGGAGGGGAGATGTGTAAGCCACTTTCATTCCGCACTACTAATATGAAGCTTTGTCTAATCTCCTAATGTCTAATTGCGGGCCTGATATATAGGAGAAGCTTAGAAATTATTGGTTGAACAAAGCAGCTCTCAAGCACCAGTTTTAACGCTGGTAGGACTTGCAGGTTATCCTTACGGTAGCTGTCATTTCACTCTGTGTGTTGATTTGCTAGGGCTGCCGTAACAAAACAGCACAGACTGGGTTGCTTAAGCCACAGAAAGTTATTTTCTCATAGTTTTTGAGGTTAAGAGTCCAAGATCAAGGAGTTGGCAGGTTTGGTTTCTTCCGAAACCTTTTTGCTTGGCTTGTAGACGGCCACCTTCTCCCTGTGTCTTCACAGGATCATCTCTCTGTGTCTGCTTGGGTCCTGTGTCTCATTCTCTCTTTCTGTGACCTGATCTCGTCATAAAGGACACCAGTTATACTTAAGTAGGGCCCACCCTAACAACCTTATTTGAACTTAATTACCTCTTCAAAGGCCTTATCTCCAACCTTCACCCTCTGAAGTACTTGTGGGGGCGGGGTTAGAGCTTCAACACGTGACAATTGAGGGCACACAATTCAGCCCATAACCCATAATGTTCTGATGGCCGTGGTTACCGCGCTTGATCATGGGTTAGGCTTTCTTTTGTTCACACTTACCACTCAGGACCAGGAAAATTTTAGTGACTGAGGAAGGGTATTTATTTTAATAACTTCTAAAAGTTGGAATTACTGAATGAAATGTGTGTGTGCGTGTATGTGCGTGTTTTGGAGGCATTAGCAGGCCTGTCCGTGAGTAACTAACAAGGAGCAAGCTCAGCCTTAGGGGCTGTGGGGCCCGGGCTTCTCTGGAGAGTTCACCACTGAAAGCCATCAGCTCACTTTTCCTAAAACAGAAATTTTCAACCTGTTGTTGAGAGGCACTCAGGTACTCAGATTTGCCAAAATGCTTTCCTGAGATGGAATAAAGAAGTTCTTGAAGACAAGGAAATAAGTTTAGCATGTCATCTCACATGTGGTGGGCGGTCAAATGCTTGCTGTTGGTGCCTAATGAATGAACAAGAGACTGAGATCAGGCAGGAGCCGCTGGATTGAACAGTTTCTTCATCACAAAGCACAGTTGCATTTTCTGTCATGCTAGGTGGTGTGCTGAAAACTGTAGTCTAGGAGCTGACATTTAGACCCAATAGCAGAACATAAACATTGCGCCATTGCATAATTTAAGTTGGTAATGCATTTACACCAAAGTCCGATCAGAGCCTAAAGGCAGACATACACTACATAAAGTGACATATAGCACAGTGGTCACCATTAGGACCACATGCTCTGGAGTCAGCAGTTTTCAGATCTCAGCTGTGTCATTTATTACTTTGTGTCCTTGGACAAATTACTTAATCCAAGTTTCTTCATCTCTAAAATGGGTTATAATGTCAAACCAGCAGGGTTGTTATGTGTTTGTTTTGGTTTCCGGTTTTTTTTTTCCCCCATATTTCAGTTTTATTAGGTAGAATTGTTACAGTTAACTGCACATACACAATATTGTTTTTTAGTGGGGGAGAGGTAATTAGGTTTCTTTATGTATTTTTTAATTAATTTTTTACTATATTTTATTTTTTAATGGAGGTACTGGGATTGAACCCAGGACCTTGTGCATGCTAAGCGTGCGTCTACTGCTGAGCTGTACCCTCCTCCTAAGCAGGATTGTTACGAATATTAAATGAGAAAAATGTATAAGTGCCTGATATATATTAAGTACTTAATAAGTGAATCATTAATAAATGAACCTTAAAGAATTTCTGATTAACTAGGTTTTCTGGCTTCCCTAAGTAAAGTTTTTGAAAGCATCCATTTTATAAATTCCTTTTTACAATCTTTCTTAAATGTATTAGCCTCTTTTCTTCAACTCACTGACTATCGAGCACTGACTTTTGCCTTATTTTTAGTCTTGAGAAGTTGGCTGGACAGGAAATAGGGGAGCAGCGTTACAGGCAAGAGGAAACAGTGCAGGCAGGAACTCAGAGCATCCCCAGAAGAGCCGGCAGCGGGGTGTGCCTTGAGTGCAGGTGAGAGGGGAGGAAGCAGAAAGAGCACGCTGGGAGCTAGTAGTAAGCAGCCTCAAAGTCCAGGCTAAAGAAGCTGGACTTTATTTTATAGTATGTAATAAAGCCAAGGAAAGTTTTTATGTAGTGAAGTGATCTGATCAGGTCTGTGCTTTAGAAAGCTAATGTTAAAGCTGCATGAAGGACCAACTTAAAAAGGTGAGACTAGAGGCAGCAAGGTTACCAGTCCTGGCAAGACAGCAACCATTGGCCTGAGCGGGGGCAGTGGGGACAGAGAGAGGACAAGTGTCAGCTATTTTGGGGTGGAATTGTGGGGGGACCTGGCACCTGGGGAGCATTTGAATGTGAGAAATGAGGAAAAGAGGAGAGGGGATGCTCAAGATTGACCCTGCATTCTGACGTGAACTACTAGATGGGCAGAGGATACAGGGAAGAGCTGGAATTTGGGGAGAAGTGGTTCTAAATAATGACTGTAGTTTGGACATACCACATGTGATGACAACAATAATAATACAAGCATAATAATAATAGCTTGCATTTATTGAAAGTTTACCAGATGCCAAGCACCAATGTATCAACTCATATTAAACAGCAGCTCTTTGAGGCAGGCACTGTTGCCATCCGTCTTTTACAGATAGTTAGCTCATTTTGGTACCCTGTCCAACGTCCCACAGTTGGTGTTTGGCAGAGCTGGGATTCAAACCCAGGTAGTCTGGCTCTGTAATCCGCACGCTGCACACGATGCTCTGCTGCCTTTCAGTGCCCTTACATCTGTGATGTTTGAAGGTCTTGCCATCCTTTGGGGTTGCTATGCTGTATAATCCAATAAGTAGGGACTCAGAATAACAAGGATGGAAGAATGGTCCGTAGGAGTAATATTTACTTCTGAGTATTTAGTCTTTTCCTCCACTTCATCTCCTCTTCAAGTCCCTTTAAGGCAGGTTTTGACTAAATGTGTTAGATTAGTTGGTTTTCCCTCTTTGGAATAGTTGGATTCATTGAAGATTCCTGACAGCCAGGTTCCACTTGGTTACATTGAGATGAGATCCTTACAGCATCCATGGTTGTTCCCTATCCAAGTAATGTAGCATTAGACAGTTACTGCAGAAAATGTTTCTATTTTGAGTTGACTGGAAAGAGCAGACAATCCTAGAGATTAGCTCGGTGGTCTGGGGAAGCTTGGACATTGTCTCAGAATAACAGAAGATGCCTGAATTGCAGTAAGTGAAGGAAATGGGGCAGTTCCACCCAGAGGAGAAATGTTGCAGCTTTTTAGGTGGAATCTGCAGTCATGCAACTTGGTAATAACTAGTGTGCAGAAGCATCCAACGTTTACAGACAGTCATGCTGTGACGGAGGGCCCAGAAATAGTCAGCACTGCCCCTGACCTTGAGGAGCTCACTGTTAATTGAAGAGAAAAATAGGTCCCCAGAAAAGTCACACCAACCTCACATCTGCAAGTACAGAATAATGTAGTGCTACAGGAGTCACAGAAGATGAGGAGGAATTCATTCCACGTTCTCATTTAAAACTTTTTTCCTAATGGACCAAGTACTATATTAAACACTGAAGTAAATATTATAATGGGTTTTTTTGAGCATTTTAGTTGTTTTGCATTGTGCTAAATGCTTTGTATGGATTGTCTTCATCCCCAAAATAACCCAATGAGGGAGAGACTTGTTATTATCCCTACTTTACAGATGAGGAAACTGAGGCCCAGGGAGGTTGGAACGAATGAGGTCACACTGTTCAGCGGCAGCCGTGCTAGGATATAGACCCACAAGTCTCACTCCTGAGTCCACTCTTAACCACCGTGCTGCTCGGCTCAGAAATAAGTAAAATCTGGCCCTTGAACCCAGGAAACTCAAATAAGGGACGCGCCTGAATCATCCCAGCACACTGAGTGCTCGCTGGGAGGTGCGGACAGAGTTACCAGGGTGTCAAGGAGGTTGCTTGTCTTGAAATCAGATATCATTTTAGGGGAACCCAATTTGGATCATCATGCAGTGATTATTCACCATGACTTCTTATTTTAAAAGAATAATTCCTCTCAGGGAATTATTCCTAAAAAATAACTAAGTATACAGCAATTTCATACTATCTAGAAAAAAGGTCTTCCTAGATATTGGTTAAAGTATTTTTTTTCTACATAAGCTCCATGTTCTTGGTTTTGTGTTATTTCATATCATTTTGCATCTTAGTAGTTTGTTTATTAACAGGTTTGTATTCAGCCAGGTTTGACAGAGCCACGTTCTTCCATTTGGCTCTGTACCATCCCTTAAGGCATATGGACAAATTGAAAGAAAGATGAATGTGTATGCGACAGAGGGGAAAATGAAAGAATTCGCCTAAAAGACATGAGACATGTTTAGGGTTGCATAATGAAAGCAAATATAATCGGCACCTCAAAATAGAGATCTTTATACTCTACAGAAAGAACGACCTCTTACAAACTCAAAAAGGGGAGAAAATATTCGTGTTCTTAATTCCCCAGGACCTGCAAATTATCCAGAAACGCTGAACCATATAAAAGTCAAGGGTTTCTGAAAGAGGTCACATATGCTCTACCGTTCTCTTAAATTTGCTGCTCAGGTTCATTTGGATTCTGGTCTGTCCTTGTCATCCAGCCAGGTTATGCTGAATCAAGAACGTGAGAGCGGCTGTGCTTGCTGTCGGCCCAGCTGAGCTTGCTTTCTGAGCTGCGCACTTTGGAGGGTAGTGCGAAGGCAGAGGAGGATTCGATAGAAACAGCCTTGTTCACTGTGACTCAGGGACCCTAAGTCACCACCAGTCATCATGGTCGTTTCCCACCCTGAGTCTCAGGGAGAAAACAGTGCTGCCAACTTTTCTGCCTCTTCCTTCCCAGCTTGGGTGAGGAGCAGGGAAGAGATTAGACCTGAACTTGAAAGAATTTTGGAGTTTTTGTTATACTCTTAAATATCTTTTCAGGAGGGAAAAACCCACAGATTTAAACACCAAGTGTGTATCGGTCTTTATCTCTTTTAATCCGTGTGATAGTTCATCTAAAGAAAAGAAGTAGAATTTCTCTAGAATTTAGAAATGGGATTATAGTATTAAGCATCTGAGTCCTTTGTAGAAAGGATTCAAGAAAATAGCCTTTATAGACTGGGAAATGCTTACGTTTAATGAAGGTGATGTGTGTAATTCCAAGGACCCAGTGGTAATTTTAAGTAGAAGAAATGAAACCTAATCCCTTGTATTGTTCTACTGGGGGAAAAACTCTGTTGACAGAAGCATAAGAAAGGTGCAGAGTGAGAGTCTGACAGTGTCCATGCCACTCCGCGTGAGGAAGAGTCTCGTGGAGTTAGAGTCCCACTCACATGAGAGACCGTCTCCAGATCAGACGTCACGTGGTCTGGATGAAATAATCCTTAACAGTAATAGTTGTAATTCATCAGGCGCCTCCTATATTCCAGACTCTGGGCTAGGCTCTTTTTTACATTATGTCATTTCCTCCTCACAACAGTTTATCTCCATTTTACAAATAAGTAAACTGAGGCTCAGAGAGGTTAAAAGACTTGCCTGAGGTTGCACAGCTAATGGGTGGCAGAGCTGGGATTTGAATTTGGATCTGACTTTGAATACTTAATTCATTTACTTGTTAAAAAAAAAAATGGAGTGCCTGCAAAGTGCCAGGAACTACTCTAGATAATAGGGATACAGCAGTAAAGAAAATAGCCCAAATCCCTGCTTATATACTCGTGAAGGGAGACAAATAAATTATACAGCCTGATGACGGTGATAGCCAAGTGCTGGGGAATGCCGGGGGGAGGGCCTTCAGCTTCAAGTCGGGCAGCAAGGAAGGTCTCCCGGGGGAGGCGGCCCGCAGGGGGCGAGAGAATGAGCTTCAGGAACATCTGGGAAGGAGGAGGGCGAGCAGCAAGTGTAAACGATCTCTTCAGTCTCCTCGGCTCTCCCAAGACTGCCTGCATCCCTTGTCCTGAATCCAGGCCTGCCAGCTACCATTCTGATCACTGATTCCAGCCCCAAAGTCTGATGGAGGGCACCCCAAACGATGCAGTCACTGGAAAGGCGTATTCCCCAGGGTCAGTTAAATAAAGTGGCTTCTGGGCTACGTAGCAGTCCCTGTAAGGTGATGTATGGTGAGTCTGTCTCTCAGAACTTCATCCCTCCAGTGTTCAGAGCCTCAGGCAGGAGATGATACTGGAGACAGGAAAGAGCCAGGCTTTGTAGTTAGCTGGGCCTGGGTTCACAGTGTGGTCCTGCTGCACACTCACTGGGATGCCAGGTAAGTTTCCTCAGCCTCTCCAAACACCAGCTTCCTCATCTATGAAGATAACAGTATTTACCACTGGGGGTTTGTGAGTGTGAAGAGTGATAACGCGTGTAAAGCTCTGGGTGTGCTGCCTAACTTAGAAGGGGCTCAGGGTGCGCTAGTCCCACCCTTGGGCCTTTGCCGTTTGGCCACTTGACCTCCTTGGGTGATGTCTCTTCTCACTTTACGTGAAACCAGATCTCCCGGATACGTGCCTGCTGTGTTCTTGTTCTTTCTCCTGCTCACACAATTCTTACATGCTCTTTCATTTACTGACACTGTTCCATAGCTGTTTTTAATGCCTGTGGTGTGATGTGATCGTGTACCAGACTCGGCTCTGGAACGTCCAGTTGCAGTTCTTGTTCTGCAGTTTTATCAGTTCTGCAGACTGGGTTAAGTCACTTAACCTCTCTGAATCTCTTTGTCTATAAAATGTGGGGAGAGGACTATGTGATGTCTAAGGTGCCTCCTTTCCTGCCCTTGAGAGACTCCTGGGGTCAGTCAGGTGTCCAGCAGATAAATATGTTTAGTGTACTCAGCAATGTTAAAGTATTAAGTTTGCAATCCCTGCCATTTACTCAGCAATTTCATTTTGGGGGTTTATCAATTAGGAAGTAATCACACAGGTGCACAAAGATGTGTATACAGAGATGTACAAGGATGCCTGTCAGAGCATTCCTTACAATAGTGAAAGCCAGAAGCCACTTCAATGTGCAGCAGTAAAGGATTGGTTACACAGGTTGATGGCCCCCAGTCCCAGTGAGCACCTCCTGTGTGCCACACTCTGCTCTAGTGCTTGGGGTACATCAGAGAACTAAACAAAGATCCCTGCCTTCAAGAGGCTTACATCTAACGGGGAAGACAGACGATAAACAATAGACAGAATAAGGAAAGGATGTGATGTGTTAGAAGACGGTAAGTGCTACAGAAAAGGGAAAGTCAGCAGGTTGAAGGGGATCCTGAGTGTGAGGAGGATGGTTTTGAATATGGTAGCCGGGTCGGCCTCATTGAGAAGGACCTGCAGTTGGCGAAGGAGCCAGCTCCGCAGATGTCAGGAGATGCACCCTCCAGGCAGAGGGAGCAGCCAGTGCCAAGGCCCTGAGGCAGGAACTTGCCAGTGAGTTTAAAGAAGAACTCTGGGGGCTGGAGCAAAGTGAGCGTGAGGAGAAGAGAAGGGGGTCAGAGGGCCAGGGGCCAGATCACAAAAGCCCCCTAAAAGGGCCCCTTTTGTCAGTCCTTGTGGAGATTGTGGCTTTTATTGTGAGTGGAATAGGGGGTCTTTGTGGGATTTGGGCAGAGGAGCAGCGTGATCCGGGGTTTATGTTTTAGAAGGAACAGTCTGGCTGCTGTGTTGAGAACAGACCGTAGGGGGACAAGGAGAAATGAGAGATGGTTTTGGAGGATATTACAGCAATGCGGGGGAGAAAGATGAAGATAGCTAAGAGGGGGTACAGTGAAAGTGGCGAAGAACAGTTGAATTCCTGGTATATTTTGACAGAACCAACAGGACTTGCCGACAGATCGGATATGGGCTGTGAGAGAGGGGAGAAGTCAAAGATGACTCTTAAGACTTTCATCCTGACTAATGGGAGGAGGGAGCCACCATCAACAGAAGTGGCCAAAAGCCTGGGTGGAGCCGGTGTGAGGGGCAAGGTCAGGAGTTGGCTTTTGGAAACGTCAAGCTTGGAAGTCTGTTAGAATCGAAGAGGAAAAGTATGTTTACTGGCTATTAACGTTTAATGTATCTCCAGTGTTTAGCAAAGGATCTAGCTCTCCAAACATATTGGCTGAATGAAAGACAAGAAAAGATACTTAAATACTAAGTGAAGTAAGTATCAGATGATCCCATTTTATTATACATGTGTGTATAGAGACACACACATGTACACAGATTTGTGTAAGGAAGGATCCAAACAGATACCAAAGTATTAAAGTAATTACATGGGATGTTGCCGCGTGATTTTGATTTAATCTCTTTCTCTTTTTGAGAATGTGTATAACATCTCTATAAAATAATTTATGTAAATGGGAGACCTGCGCTGAACCATGAGAAGACTGTGATTCTAGCCTATCAACAACCCCTAGGTTTTTTTCCAACCATTGTGGAGTTGATGAAGCCTTGAGTTGTTTACAGGTGGTGCTCTTTATGACTAGGAACACTGTGAACAGATTGTTCTTTTCTTTTGAAGTATGTCCTCAAGATCTACTCCCCAAATCAGAAACAACAGACTAAAAGATAAAAAGATATGTAGCTCTTCTTAAACATTGCCAGATTGCTCTGCAGAAAAAAAACCAAACCAATTTAGAATTCCAGCAGTGAAAGAATGCTAGACAGTCTATCAGGAAAGACGTCCCTCCTACTAAGGCCGGATTTCGATTTCACACCACAGAATTATTTAGCGGCATCTGTTCACCCACCATGGGGGCATAAAAAAGTCTTCATGGAGGTTTTGCCTATTTTTCAGGCGTAGGAATCGGCGTGGTCCATGCTGGGTATGAGAGACGCCTGGCCCATCACCTGGGAGCACACAGCACACCCTCTATCCTAGGAATCATAAATGGGAAAATCTCCTTCTTCCATAACGCAGTTGTCCGTGAGAACCTGCGACAGTTTGTGGAGAGTCTTCTTCCAGGGAACTTGGTGGAGAAAGTGAGTACCTGGCTGAGAGGTGGTTGAAGCAGCTCCTGGGACCGCTGGCTGCCCTGAATGAACTCTATGTGTGGCCATCGTCAGACCTGAGTTTCATTTTGAGCAGGGCAAGACACATGATTTAATTAAGTACGCAAACAAAATCATTTAAATGATTCAATGTGCCAGAGACTGAAAAACTGAAGCAGTTGAATTAGAGAGACTGAAAGAATAGTCCCTGTTATAACCACTGGGAAGATTTACCCCGTCATAGGAATCTGAGCCTAAAATGAGAGCAACTCTTATTTTCTCAACAAAAAATTAGATCACAACAGAGGACTTCTTTCCAACTGGTGCATTTGTTCATTTGAAAATATTTTTCTTACGAGAGTATTCAAGTTAAGTTATACTTGGTTATATATTTAGTAATCATATCTATAGAAAACAACAGGTTCCATGAGATATTAATTTTGGAACTTTCAAATGTATAGTGATGCAACAGTATGAATAAGTTTCACAAACAAAAGTTTGAGCTAAAGAAGCCAGGCACAAAGAATTCATGCTAGTTTACAATTTTCATATTTAAGAAGCATTTTTCCCCCCAGCATCTTAGATTAGGGATCAGAGGAACTAGAACAGGATTCTTATTTTGCTTTAAATGGTTTATTCCTTTAACAGTACCAGGCAGAATAAACCTGCAGACATATCCGTCATATTTCTACACGTACTACTCACAGACTGTCCCACCAGAGTCATTATCCACAGAAGAAGTATTTGTTGGAGTTAGCGTGAAAGGTAATTGTCACAGAGCGTTGTAGCATCTTAAAATGATGAGAGGTTGTCCTGATAAGTCCTCAAACCTCTATCAAGTATCTATCGTGTGCCAGGCACCATGATAAGTGCTGGGGACACTTTTCAAAGAGCTCCCAGTCCAGTGGCGATGATTTCCATCCACGTGTAGAATGTGCATCCTCAAGAGGTGAGAAAGGCTTCCTGGCAGAAATGACCCCTGTACTGAGTTTGCAAGATAAAGAGAGAGAAGTAGGGGATGAGTTCCAGACAAGCAGAGGTCTGGGACACGAGATAGCCTGCTTTGTATGAAACAGTCACTAGTGAGCAGGAGAGGACGAGATTAAAGGACTCTTGCTGTGAGAGTCTCCTGTAAAGAACTTGAACTTGGCCTGCAGGTGATGCTCCATCTGAGAGGAGTTGAGCAGTGGGGGCAAAATGATCAAATTGAGGTTTTATACAAATCATTCTAGAAGCAGAGTGGAGAGAGAGATTTTTTTGAACTACTGTGAAAAACTTCTAAATAGAAATTTAACTTACTCATGTTTTTAATTTGTTCCCTCAGGATTATTTTAAGGCATCAACAGGGAGACACAAAAGTAGCAATCCAAGTGGCAACAAATGAAATTCTGTAATGTGTAGATGGGGTGGGACCACTTATTTTTATTTAAGCCATTTTAAAAGAGCAGTTGTTGCATTATCTCCTACAGGTTAACAGATTAAAAGTTCAGTCTATAATTAAGCAAGAACTGACTTCAAAAGCTTGATAATAATATGGTCAGTAACTGTTTCAGAAAAGACTATGGGTTCAGTCTATAAGAATTGAAACACTTGAAAATATGAAATCAGTATCTCCGTTCTTTTCATTAATTTTAGTCAAATGAAGACCAAAAGATTGTCTATCTGCATTTCTTATTTTTTACAAAACAATCTTTTACACATCTTTAATTGTGTTTCATTATCTCCTGACTGGATTATAATGCAGTGGTTAAGAATTAAACATTGAAACTAACATGCTCTTTTCAATTTAAGGTTACAAATAAAAATTATGTCCGATTCCTCTCTGGCTGGCAGCAAGAGAACAAACCACATGTCCTTCTGTTTGACCAGGTGCCCGTGGTACCACTGCTCTACAAGGTACTTTAGGTGCTGGGGTAATGTTTTCTTATTTTGGTGGAAAAAAAAACCTTGTAGCCTGATTGTCCTTTTTGTGAGTAATAGCTCATCCTATGAGAAATGTTTGTAAGGCCAGAAATCCACCTTAACTGCTGTGCATTGAGGACTGTGCTGTCAGTGTGCTGGTGCCTTCCACACACATAACACATTTAATCTTCAGAAGAACCCAGTGATACAGATTATCATCCCTATTTTATGGACCAAAATACTGAAGCTTAGAATGGTTGTATGACCTACCCAAGGCCTCCCTAGAGGATGGTCAGTATCGATTCCTTTGAAGCCTGTCTGATTCCAGACCTGCCCTCTGAATGATGGCTCTATACTGCACTTCTGCCTAGCATATCTCTGGTTATCACTGACAAGAGGTGGGAGAAGAAGGTGCTTAACTGTTGGCGTGGTCACTGCCATCTTACATAATTGGGTACAGGTGATTCCTCACACCTCCCACCCAGTACAGATCTCAGTAAGATGAATATTTTGCTCTGTCTGAAAAAAAGGACGAGTTGTTGTTTAGCTTTGTTCGTACGATTTTTGTGCATGGAGCACCATAGCATTCTGACAGGTGTACAGAGCGTAGCTGCCTGAGTGGGGCTGTGTAAGCTAGCATTCGCCTCCACCCACTGATGACAACAGGTCACACCTGATTTGTAATTTAGATGCTGTGCTGTTCACTTCACTTCTTCCCCCTCTGTTATGTCCCAACAGTTGACTGCTTTTGCTTACAAAGATTACTTGTCATTTGGATATGTGTACGTTGGTCTGCGAGGGGCGGAAGAGATGACGAGGCAGTTCAACATCAATGTCTATGCCCCCAGCATCTTGGTCTTTAAAGAACACATACACAAGCCTGCCGACGTTATCCAGGTACGTGTGCATCGCCTTCTTTCCAAACAGCCCTCCCGTTGTATCGCACATCAGCATGCAAACAAGCAGCAAAATAGAATGAAGCAGGTGAGAAGAAACTCGTTTTTAATCTCTTCCTCCAGAGGCACAGAATTTAAAAATGAGTTTAGAGGGGTGGGTGTAGCTCGAGTGGTAGAGCACATGCTTAGCATGCACGAGGTCCTGGATTCCATCCCCAGTACCTCCTCCAAATAGAAATAAATAAATAAACCTAATTACCTCACCCTCATAAAACAAACAAACAAAAAAGGGGAAAAAATGAGCTTGTCTTAAGTCTGATTTGGTACTATTTTGCTTAAAAAATAATCTTTTGACAGAAAGTGGTTGCCAGGGTCTGGGAGAGGAAAAAATAAGGGGTTAATATTTAATGGGTACAGTTTCAGTTTGAGAAAACGAGAAGGTTCTGGAGATGGATGGCGATGATGGTTGCAGAACAGTGTAAATGGTTAATGACACAGAATCATACACTTGAAAATGGTTAAAATGGTATATTTTGTTATCTGTATTTTACCACAAAAAAAAATAATGAAAATCATCTTTGCCCTCTAAGGAGCTCTTATTAAAGAAATCAATAATTTTATTCTAAAGTAGATTACAAAAATAAATGTAAGCATGAATATAAAGCAGTAATAAAAAGGAATAAGAAAAAGCCCAGCAGGGGGAGTATAGCTCAGTGGTAGAGCGCATGCTTAGCGTGCATGAGGTCCTGGGTTCAATCCCCAGTACTTCCATTAAAAGTAAATATAGAAATAAATAAATCTAATTACCCCCCCCAAAAAAACACAACAACAACAAAAAAGAAAAAAACCCGTACTCTTTCATTTCATCCCATTAATCCTTTGGAGGTTTTTAGTTTCATAATTTAATATTCAAAAGTGTAGGAGTATTGAATCATGATAAAAGCTTTTAATTGGCCTTTCATGGTATTAAAATCCTGTAGGTGAATAAAAGTTGTTTGATCTTGCTCTTAAAATAAAAATAAACATTACATTAAAATCACTAAAAAAAAAAAAACCCATAAACTCAGAGAACATGTAGTGAATATTTATCTGATCTTAAGATAGGAAAGAGCTAAAAGCATTGGGCTAAATCTTGCTGGAAAATCTTAATAACTTGATTATAAGTCTTAAATTTTTATATGAATAAATTTTTTAATTAAACAGTAAGGGAAATATTTACAACCAATATAAAAGAGGTTGCTATCTTTTATTTCTAATGAGCTGCTTCTAATCAAGGAGATCAACCCAAAACGTCCCAAGAGTTATGACTTAATAGGTACAGAGTTTTCGTTTGGGGTGATGAAAATGTTTTGGAGCTAGAGAGAGGTGAGGGTTACACAACACTGTGAATGTACTAAATGCCACTGAATTATACACTAAAATGGTTAATTTCATGTTGTGTGGATTTCACCTCAATGAAAACAAAATTTTTTAGTAAAACTACCCCCCCCAAAATGGGCTAAGAATATGAACAAAATCCTGAGAAGAGATTCAAGTGACTAATAAACACTTTAAAAAAAATAAGTCTCAATAATCAGAGGAAACCAAATTTAACATTTTCTTCTCTCATCCAATTGTTAAAGATTTTCTAAGTAAAAATACTCAGTAGAGTTGAGGGTACAGAGAAACAGGCTCTTCTGGTTTTTGCCTTTGCTGGAAGAGGCTTCAGAAGTTTTCAGAAAAGCGATTGGGTGATAAAATATCAGCTGCCTAGCAGGAGAGTACTCCTGAGTACCTGTTATGTGCCAGACATTGCTCTGTGTGCTGAGGGTACAGCCCTGAACAAAATCAGCAGAGTTCCCTGTCCTGTGTCCTAGTGGGTCAACAGACAATCAGTGTAACACACTCTGTCATGGTATATTACATAGCAGGAGGTGCAAAGGAGAAAAATAAGACAGGAAAGAGAAATGAAGAGGATTGGGGGAAAGGCTCACATTTTCAAGGTAGAGCAGCCAAGAAGGGGCCTCATTAAGGTGACACTTGAGGAACGACCTGAGGAAGATGAGATTACCTTACAGGACTCTGTTGTTAGGGAACAGGAGCTCAGACAAAGAATTACATACAGAGATGTTAAACACCATTCATAATACCAGAAATAAGGGGGGAGTACAAATACCCAACGGTAGGATAATTATTGGTCCATCCCAAACAGGCACTATTACATAGCCATTTAAAATGATAATTTGACAATACTTATTGATGGGGATAACTTTCATAACACAATGTTAAAGAGCAAGCAGGATGTAAAATTGTGTATGCAGTTTATACACTGATCTCAGTTTTGTAACATGAACGTACACTTGGGGGTGTGTGCGTGTGTATGCATGGAAGAAACTAGAAATGAATACAACAAAACAGTAGTGGTTATCTGTTGATGGCACAATTATATATTATTTCAATATTTAAATTTTCAAGAATCCCTATAAAGCGAACATGTATTTTATATTTTTAATGTTATTTTAAAAAAATCAATTAGGACCCTCTGATACTTTCTCTTCGAGGAGGCTAAAATGAGAAGAAAGAGAATTTCTATAAAATTTCATTCTTCAATAAATTCATTGCCTGCCTGCTGTGTACTAAATAAAAAACAGCTCTGACATCCAGAGTTAGTCTTTGTCCTCAAGTCTTTGTCCTCCTCAGACTCACAGTCGGGAGGAGAAAGACCTAAAGGCAGTTTCCATCCACTGTAATAGGCGTCTCACTTACGTGTCGGTTAAACTCTGAGGGCCGTGTGACCATAGAAGGATTCCTGAGACGTGAGACTGAGGTAAGGACATTGTGTGTGGCAGAACCAGAGGGGGAGAGTGGAAAGTAAGGAAAGAAAAGCAGGCTTAAGAAGAAGGTAATGAGTTCCGTTGCGGACATATGAATTAGGACTGCCGTTAGGAAATCTGCAGGGAGGTGTCCATCAGGCAGGGGTCCAGATTTTAGAAAAGGCAGATGAGCTAGGATAGAGATTTGTGGCTCATCAGTGAATGGTTAGAAGTTGAAATCTCAAGTGTGGGAGCTCTCTCGGGCATCGTTATGTAAAGTAAGGAGAGGAGGGAGCCAAGGACAAGACGCAGGACAACCATCAGCAACTAAAAAGACGGGGTGCCTAGTTGCAGCTCCAAAGGAGCTGAGAGAGAGAGAGAGAGCGAACATGCCAGTTGTGGAAGAGAAAAAGGAAGATCATCTCAATCCAGGATTAATCTTATGAATATTTCCTAAATTGCTTTTCAGTAATAGCTTGTACTCGTGAGATTTGTTATTTAGTTATCCCCTGGGGAAAATTGTAACTCAAATATATTAACAAAATTACTGGTACAGTGGATGCTTTAAAGGATTTGCTCTTTTGGTGTTGGGGGGTGGCAATTAGGTTTATTTATTTATATTTAGAGGTAGTACTAGGGATTGAACCCAGGACCCCATGAACACCAAGCTTGCACTCTACCACTTGAGCTATATCGTCCCCTCCTCGACTTGCTCGTATGAATATAAAAATGTATTCTTAACATAAACCGAGTCCTCCCAGCAGCAAGGGGCTTAGTGTAACACTAGCAGCACCAGTGGTTTCTCACAGCTGTGGTCAATTTGTTTTCCTTTGCTGTACAGTGTTTGTGGCCACAGGGTAATGTCTTTATTCATTCTTGTGTTGATGGACATTTCGGGGCTTTAGGACCCGTGATGCCATGGACATCACCTGTATCCCAGTGTACCTGAGCACAGGTTTCTATAGGACAGAAGTTTTCAGGATGTGGTTTACAGACCCCTGGGAGCAGAGGGGGAAGTCCCAAAGGCCCTTTACGGGAGTCTGTGAGATCAAAACTGTCTTCACAGTAACACTGAGACATAATTTGTCTTTTCTCTGTGTTGATACTTGCACCAATGGTGCAAAAGCAATGGTGGATAAAACTGCCAGTGCATAACCACGTGCACACACCAAGGCCTGGGCACCAGACTGCCTGGGACTGTGTTCTTCACTCCTAAGCACCACATAAGAGCACACAGAAAGACACTCATTTCACTGGATAGCTTCGATGTTGCAGTAAGAAGTATTAATTTTATTAATAAGTAAACTAACACTTGAGTACGAGTCTTTTTGGTACCTTTACTCTGTTTGACAAAATGGGAAGTGTCCGTAAAGCCCTTCTGCCGCAGGCCGAAGTGCACGGGTTGTCTTGAGGACAAGCATTTATGTAGTCGTTTAACTCGAGAGTTCTGAACTAGCGAGTTTTGGGGGATTTTTTTTGATGAAACATTGTTTTCACATAAAAGAATAATCAACGGACAACTGTGATTGCTCAGAGCTGGGTACGTGGCAGACATTTTCTTTAAAATGAATGAAGTGAGCCTGGCACTTTAAGGGAAACAACTCGCAGTATTTGTTGCCAATGATAAAATTCAGGCTTCCAAGAAAATTAAAATTTCAAAAAATCTGTATCAGCCAATGTGACTTTGACAGCTTCTCAAACTTTCTGATGAGATTGGTTTATCAATATGATGCTTTTTTTTAATATAAATAATAAAATTTGTCAGCATCTGGAAGACCAGTTAACCAGTATTTTCCAAATAACCATTGGTCAGAGAAGCTGCTATATATAACTCCAGTCCTTTGAAACATATGAAAGTTAGTCATGACAAAGAGGTCATCACACTGTTTTGTGGTCTTTTATACTTAGTAGCATTGTTACTTTGAAGCTTATTTTTAATTGTCCAGTTTGCTGTAAATCTTGAATGGAATTAAATTTGCCTACAACTTCAAAATTATTTGAGTTTTTAAATCTGCTAGCATAAAACAGTGTACAAAAGTTCTCCAGTGAAAACACTTTGACCTGAAATAGCTACGTCATTGCTCTCAGCCCTGCATTGGTGAAACAGATCACCACATGTTTATTTGCTCAAACGACTCTGACTGACTTGGTTATATTGCTTTAGCCAGGGTCAGCCACATTTTTACTAAGCTAGAAGTCAAGCCTATCTTCAGTGAGAAAACTGAGTAAGAATCAGCTGTCTCTTGGATTTTCTCCAGGCCCGAGGTATGAAGAAGCAGGTCATCGATGACTTCATCACCCAAAACAAGTACCTGCTGGCGGCCAGGCTCACCAGCCAGAAGTTGTTCCATGAACTCTGCCCCGTAAAGCGGTCTCACCGACAGAGGAAGTAAGAACTGAAGGCTTTGCCCCTCCTCATCAGGGCAACAGAGGGGCATGTCGTGTTTTACTACAAGGCAGTTAAATGTCCACCTGTGATGGAAATTATTCTTCCTGTCACAAATACTGATGAACAACTGTGACAGGAGTGGGGTGTGTCAGTCCAGGGCACCTCAGGACCAGATTATTGGATGGGCCAGAGAAGATCCCCTAAGATGTAATAACCCTTTAGCTGAGCCCTGAAGGGCGAGTAGATTTTGCCAGGTGCCAGGGAGAGACCAGGTCACTTTAAAGCAGTGTGGACTACGAGAGAGTTCCTCTTCCTACCAGAGGATTCCACACAGGGTGAGCCTCTGGAGGTCTTGGAGAGGGTCTTGGAGAGGAGCCAGGTTAATGGCTACACAGTACGGAAGTGATGGTACTGAGGAAATAGTAAGGTAATTGGCTGGGGGTGGCAAGGCTGAGCCATACTGATTCATACGAAGTGTCTACAAAGTCTAGAAATACAGGGAAAATACTTATACTTCTTTCAGATGAATGAAGCAGTGCCTTTAAATTTAGGGCCATTTCATCCGTGAAAGGAGTCTGGATATGAAAGGAAAACATTGATCACATTATTTGAAAATTCAACTAAAATATTTTTTAAAATAGTAAAATTTCCCCATGTTTCCAGACTTTTCAGATTCCTTTATAGACTAAGAGAAGACTTTCATTAAATAGAAAGAAGATAATCCTGGACTTTAAGGATTGTTGTTTACACAGCCTTCAAAAATATCCCCAGTCCACGCACTTCTCACCTTTGTTACCACTGCCACCCCGGAACAGGCCACCGTCACCTCTCGCCACCAATATGTTAGCCTCCTAACCTTCTCT